TTACTTGGCATCTGAAAATACATTTCCTCAAAGGTGTTTTTAATCTGAAAAGAGCTTCACTGAGAGAGAACTAATGTTAAGAGCTCAGCAGAAAGTTTAATTTTCACTTTCAGTTTCACCGGAGAGCCTGCATGAATCATGGGCAGGGTGTGTGGGGAGGGGGGTGAGGGGGGCACTCTGCCATGAGGAAGTTCGGCATAAAGACACGTCCCAGGGGCGTTTCTGGTCCCCACCTGTCGTCTTGCTCCTCAGCATGGCTGCCTAAAAACGCTGCAGGATTTCTCAAGCATGCATGAATGAGTCAAAGCAAGGTTTTGGACATGGTTTTTTTATGAGAGTATAACATTATAACATGATATACAACTCAAAAAAGTTGATTTTACATGATATTGCCCCTTTAAGATTACACACCTTGCCCTTGGACTGATCTTTGCTGGTAAACCACTCTGAAATGTCCATTTATATCAATCTGTAGCGTTTTAAATCTACATATATTTTAGAGTAGATACAATGCCTGTCATCTGTTCCCTCCGCAGAGGTGTCTGGGTTCAAGATTCAGAACAAGCTGCTGGGTAAATGCCTGCAGGTAGAGGAAGGAACTACAGGAGGAAGAGTGTCGTTAGGAGAATGTGGCTCAAACTCACACGTGCAGGAGTGGCACTGGCTGTCAGAGGGCCGTATCAGGAGTCAACACACTGGAGAGTGTCTGACTGCGCCGAGTCAGGAGTATGAAGGTGTCCTCCTGCAGCCCTGCGTCCTCAGAGGAGCTGCTGCAGACGTAGGAGGAGAGGCAAGCAGCCAGGATTGGGCCTGCTCAAAGAAAGGCCACATCACTTTGATGGGAAAAGGGCTGCACCTTAGTGCTGCTAAAGAATCCTCATTAGTCTTTGTGTTGAAGGAACATAAACAGGTAATGTTTTAAAGAAGAACGACCTCTTTTTTTGTTGCGGATATGACTTAATAGATATTACTCAAGCATAAAATGCGAAATTCACATTTTACCTTAGAAAAGTTTGTCCTATAAGCATCTCAAACAGATCAAACAATGTTGTGGGTTCTCCTACAGGGCGGCAGGTGGCGAACACTGGATAACCAGACGTTGTGCGATGACAGAGACAGCAAAGAAAATCTAAATCAGCTCCATCACCAGCAGGAGGAATTGGAACAGAGGGTTTCTCCAAGTCATATCTCTGATCTGAATACTCATGCAGAAACTTGTAAGAACTAAAGATATTATTTCCTATATTTGTGTTCTTTCTGTGTTTTTCAGTCTAAGTAGTAAAAGGCCTTTGATTACAATTTGCATCTACTTTTATGCAATAACTTTAGATTCTTTCTAACAATTTCAAGAATGCCCATTTGCAGGCAATGTTTAGTTCAGAGAAACATGTCTACATTTAATCAATCAACACTTGTTTTTTTAATATTTCAATGTTCTTGATTATAAGGTTACATTTTTAATAGCATATGTTCTATTTTTTTTAATTGATGGCCTCCCTTCTCCCCCTGTAGCCATCCTCTCCACACCATTATTATGTTTTTTTTAATAATAGAAGAAAAAAGAAAAAAGTGAAATGCATTGAGAAAGAGTGAAAAAGAGATTAGAAGATTTGTAAAATATATGTTGAGAAAACACAAGACAGCACACCGGACTTCTCGGCTCCACACCTACAAAACAAAGATAGCAAAACCACAGCAACAAAAATGCATAACTATGTAATTATAATGACTTTAGCCTTGCTGAAAACTATACCCATTTACAAATATGAATATATACACAAACATACCCCTACCTCCATATCCAAACACTTTCATATATAGCATATGTTCTAGTGTCAAAATCGTTAACATGTTTTGCATTAATCAATACAATAATCAATATTTTAAACTATTTTCAGATAAACAAAACATTTCAAATGTCCAAAAATTCCTACCATTTGTACTTTAAAAAAATCCCAAATTGTCATTTTTGTTGGCTGATTTAAAATATTTTGATGTTTTAATTTTTTATACGGAAGGAGCCCATGATAATATTTCCTTTCTGCTAGTTTCAAAGAGGATTTTTAACATAATATAATTAATTGTAATAAAATATACAATAAACAACAAAATAAAATACAAGGCTGTCATCAACCATTATGTACATTTGATGCAGTCTCTTTGTGACTCACCCTGGATCTGCTTTTAGAATAATAGAATAAAATGTCCTAATAATAAGAATCTAACTGAGTTAAGTGCTCATTTCCCTCAACCTCAGAGAACATGGAGCTGGTCCACCAAACAGCACCACATCTCAGCAAAACTAATTTATGTTGTTTCACTGGAGCAAGTGGTCCTGAGTGAACAGATTTTACTTTTTACATTGAAACAGAGTGGACAGTGTGTTATGAAACAGTTAAGTTACATGCACCTTTATTCAACTCACATAGCGGGCAATCTGGTGAATTTTCACTTCCGTATTATTACTTTGCAGAATCTAAAGTTCCCAATTAAAACCTAAACATAATATAACATGAGAATCTCAGTATTTTCCAACAGAACCTAACACAGTTTCTTTGTTTTATTATTTATTCATTTTATTAGGTTGTTCAAACAAGAAGAAAAAAAATCTATATATAATAAAAGAAATCATAAATGAAATGAAGGGAAGCAGAAAATAAAAAAGTCTTCTCTGTATTTAAATCTAAACAGGCTGAAATAATTACTTTTAACTGCATGCACTAGATGACTTTTTTCTTCTTCTTCTCATCCAGTTGAAGGCATTGTGGGTTCTATTGGTGCAGAAGTATATTCTTTAAAAGATGGACTGAATCCAAACTTTGTTAGCACCAAATCCCCTGCAGATCCAACCATGGTGTTTTTCAGTTTGGACTATGGTGAGTTTGGTGCACTATAATGAACAAAATCCTTATCATTTTCTCTTTGGAAAGACTTGATTAAACCAAAAAGCTTAACAATAATTTCTGTCAAAGGTGTAATTCTGTTTTTCTACCACTAACTGGAGCTAAGTGATTGAAAAATAGCTGGCAAAGGTTGCGGTAGAAAGGAAGTGAAGTGACATTTGTAAAGAAAGTCTCAGAGTTGTAAAGTAACTAAGTACAAATACTTTGTTACTGTACTTAAGTAGAATTTTTGGTTATCTGTACTTTACTTGAGTAATTATTTTTCAGCATACTTTTTACTTTTACTTATTACATTTTTACGCACTTATTTGTACTTTCTACTCACTACATTTTTAAAAAAGATAAGAAGTAGAAAGTCGTTACTCCTATTTTATTCTGAGTTATTACTTAAACAAATACTATCCTTATAAATTTTGTCTCCTGAATAGGGTGAATTTAATTGTGATTGGATGAGAAGTATAAACATGTATCATTCTGACACACTATTAGCTTGTACACAACCCATCACAGCTGCACGCCGTTAGAAAAAATACTTTTTGGAGAAGTCATCTCCAAATAAATGTCATTTTGGAAAATCTAACTGCTCACTACTTTTACTCAGTACTTTTACTTTTAATACTTAAGTAGATTGTGTATCAGAAATTTACTTTTGATACTTGAGTACAAAAAACATCAGATACTTTAAGACTTTTACTCAAATAATATTTTTAGAGAAGACTTTAACTTTTACCAAAGTATTTTTATGATAAGATACTTGTACTTTTACTCAAGTATCACTTTGAGGTACTTTATACAACAATGGAAAGTCTAAATGAGTCATTTGAAGACAAATGTGAGTCGGTAACAATAAAATAAATAATTAACCCTGTGGATTTTGACTATGTGATGTCCAAATGTGTTTAGGAATGGGCTGGAAGATAACCATGCTGGTGCTAAGCTCTTTGGCTTTGGTCCTAGGAACTGCAATTTTAATCCTTAGTGTCTACTCTAACAGGTGAGGACTGTAACGCTCACACACATGCACATACCCACTGTATTTTTAGGGAATTTGCATTGACATTCAAACTTTTCCATGCCTCAACCCTGACCCCTGAAAGAATGCCATTCCTCATCATGTGAATGTCCCATAGGTAGCAACTGGTCTCCACAGGTTGTGGTCCCATTAGGGAATACCTGCCCGTACAAGCACACACAACACACACACAGCACATGTTTGTCCTTTAGTCTATTACACAATGCACTCACAAGCCTTATGTTACAACTTGTATTCATCGCAGCTCCTCCTAACCCTGTCTATAACCTCATCCTAAATCCTGGCCTTAAAACCAAGCCTTAATTCTAAAAGTTTTTTTATGACCTGTGAGCTGCATGGTTTGAAGAATAAAAGAAGCACAAATTATAAAAAGCACAAAAAACAGCTAAATGTTAATATGCAGTTGCATGTTTTGTTCGTTGTTGATTTCTTTTATTATCCTTTTTTTCTTTTTCTTTTTTACCAGAAGGAAGAAAGTTCTTTGTGTTTTGAAGTCGTACACTCCACGCCCAGAGATGAGTGTTCCTGGATCCCCCGCGCCTGGTGAACGAGTCCCGCTGACCCAGCATGCCATGCAATTTCCTCACTCCTCTCCGAGCTTATATCGAGGAGAGATCCTGATCGAGTGGAAGGACGGCACCGTTACTCCCCTGTACGAGGCCTGAGGCCATGAAACCGCCAGCACTGACTTGGACAGGATTGGTTTTGTGTGTGTCTGTGTGTGCGCACACTGGCATTTTGTGTAAGGCCATGTCTGTTATCCTGGGTGTGTGTGTGTGTGTGTGTGTGTAGGGGGGGTAATAATAATAAGACTAACAGCACTCAATGCAGGATTAGGGTTTCTGTTATTGTTGGCAAAAGTTTAACTCTGTGCTTTAGGCCGTTTCATAAAGATGAAAGTTTGTGGATCAGATGTGCCTTAAAGGTTTTAGATGCCAAAAGGGAAAAAAAAATTGAAATAAAAAAGAAGCATGGTGTAGTCGTCAGAATAAAAACAACACTTTGAAGGGGACTGGGTTGGGATGTTTACATGTTTAACAGAAACATTTTAAACTTAGTCTAAATGTACCAGATAACTTGAATTCAATTAACTCCAGTGTGTTGGCTTTAATAGTCACTTGTATATGATTGTTAAATTGTTTAACAGGTCTTGCCCACGTGAAAGGAATATACTGTACATCCACAGAGTTATTTCAACTGGATTCCACTTAATGACCAATCAATCCTTTTTTTGTTCTATTTTATATATTTTAGCCATTTTTAAGAATTGTTAACCCTTAAATAAGTAACACAAAACACAGTCACATCTGGAATAGTTTAAATAATACATGTTTGTTGCTTAAATGAGTAATTGTATTGATGACTAGAAGGTCACTAACTTCAATTAATCAGTTTTCTTCAATGATTGGTTACATCTGTTCTTCTAGTTTTGTTTTTGTCTCCAACCAACATACAAATATGACATTTTACAATCTCCTTTCACTCAGTTCAAGAATGGTTTTCAATAAACCTTACAATTTTTGCAACATTTAGCCTCTCTTGATGTTTCTCTTTTTAATATATACAGTTGAGCTGTATCTCCCTACTCTGTCTCTGCACACAAAAAAGCATTAAAATATTGTTTTCTGGTTGACTGTTTGCTTTTGTCTTGATTGTTTGTAGAGGTCAGCAACAACATTGTCATTGGGCATTTTACTTGCTATGTTTCCTTGCTGAGTCAGATCTAATGCTGGGTACCAACCAAGACCTGAGCCTGTGGGTACACGATTGTTGGTCAGCAATATGTAACTATTCAATTTCACTTAACTTGTAAATATACATTAGATAGTATGATATTCTGATTGTAAAACCTACACATGTACTCATGGCACAGTTTTAAATGGCAGCTGAAGATAAAGGCATGTCGCAAATATTGGAAATTAATGCACAAATACCATTAACCCATTGCACTTCATTGCTTTTCATGCATCAGGGTTGATTTTCAATTCTGTTTGTTTTATTTATTATTTATTAACCTTTATTTACCCAGGACAAAACCCACTGAGATTACAGATCTCTTGTGCGAGGGAGGCCTGGGCCTGAAGGCAGCCTGTGTTTACGCAAGCACAAGTACATACAAACTCTGCACAGAAAAATCCCAGGTCCAAACTGGGGTTGAATTTTTTTTATCTCAATATCTCAATGATCTTCTGCACTTTCACTCCAGCAAACCAACTAGCGTTAAAAGTCTCCAAAACATGGCACCTTATGTCTATCCTAAGGCTTGAAATGTTTACAACTTTTAAACTGCACAGCATTTTATTAATTTTTAATAAGGTAGGTTTTATAATTCCTTATTTGGCACTTATTATTATGATGGTTTTGCCTAGCTGTATGTTTGTGTTTCATCTGCTCAGCCCTTTGATCAACCTATGCAAAGGCTTTGGATGTAAAGTTTGAGTTGACATGAGGAATAAATTGAAGTGGGGCGGGGTACACTGTTGCTTGTGGTACAGCCTGTGAAAACATGTTTTTTTTTTCTGGCATTTCAGTAAAAAAAGACCTAAACTCTCTGTGGGGTAGAATGGAAAGTTTTTGCTATTTTGAAACCTTGACATGTTGGTACTCGTGTGCCTTAAAACTAGCATCTGACCACAAATGGCATCTGCTCTACTTCAGAAACACATCAATAACATGCTGGGAATTAATTTTTTTTATTTTTTTATTTTTTTATTTTTATTTTTTTGTATAAATTAAAATGAATGAAATGATTTAGTTTAATACAGTATATATGTATGTTTAACTATCACTAATGGCAACCAAAACATTATTTTTACTCCCAAAGAATTAATCTTTGTAGCTTACCTTCAGGTAATATTCAACAGAGATAACGTCACAGTTATTAATAGAGTAGATGGCAGAAGGAGGAATCAAAACATTGCAGAAGGCTTTTACTTCAGTGATTGGTCCAATTTTCTCCACTAGACTTTTGAATGATGTTTTCATCTTAGTTTTGGTGGTTTTGTAAACACAGTACTCAATTTTCTGCTGCAAACAGAACTTAGGTCTCATCGATTTAGATGAGGAGTTGAAGACATTGGCAAAAACAGACACTATGTTACCTAAAGAAAAAATAATGACAA